CAGCTAACTAAACTCTACATTCGCCGATATTTTTTCTGGGACTAGAAAACACAAAACTGAAGCATATGTTTACTTATTTATTTGAACACATAAATATTGGTACAAGAGGGCACCAAATATATATGTGCCACACAAAACAATGAGAATGGGGAGAGAGAAAAAAGAAGGTAAGCAGCGTGAAAGAAAAGAAAGAAGAACAATAAAGACCAGATTAGTGTAAGGTAGTGTAATAATAATAATAATAATAGTAATAATAATAATAATAATAATAATAATAATAATAATAATAATAATAATAATAATAATCGGGAAACAGAAAGGTACAACCAGAAGAAATCTTTCAGTTAAGGAAGATACAACCACTTTTTATGAAGAAAGTAAAAGAAGGTTACAGCAGGATCGTCACTGGCTTCTATTCTGAGCCATATCTGGTAACGTCTCTAACCACTGTGTTGCACCATCTCTCGGACCCCAGGAAGGGAGTAGTGAACGACCAACAGAAGCCAGTCCTTTGCAGCTTAAAACATATGAGTAAACAAATCCACTCTATTTGAGATATATCGATGTAACTTTTATCATGTATGATACTAGAGATAATGTTGATCAATACTACCTATGTTTCAACACAGCTTATGTAGATCTAAAATTCACGTGAGAGGATGCAGCATGAAATTGGATGAGTTTCTTAAACTTAACAACAACAAAATAAGAACGCGGTTCAATTTCACTTTCGATCTACCGTAAGACTTCATGGACAATTTATTAGCTTCCGTTCCATCACATATAAAACAAGTCTTGTGAGAATTCTGTTCTTAAGGATAAAGTAACTATGTTTTGAAGATTCTATCGATAACGAATTACAAACTCTTCAAAGTTAATTAACCGAGACAGAGTATTCATAAAGTTCATAAATAAAAAAAAACTTTGAGTCGATAAATTAGACGTAACGACAATCCACTGTCCCCAGAATAGGTGTCTACTAATAGGAATTACTTCATTGACGTTTTCTGCATAGACCTAATAATCATGCATGGAACATAATAGACTATTCAGAAGCTATAACTTGGATAACAGGTCTCCTCTAGTTACTTAAAAATGCATCCATATACTTACTCGTACATGCAATATTATATGTATTGGAAGAACAGGAAAAATACTGCTTAAAAGGATCCACAAATACATCCTAAAGAATTTAATCTAGATCCTGACAGTCTTTCGAATAATAAATGAACAGCATAATGGCACACTTTGACGTTACTCAGAAGTAGTAAGTGTTCGTCGTCTAAAACCAAGTTTATGTGTATGCAAAAATAAATTGTATTTCACTTGGTCCTGCCATGGTGATCAATTTACTGCTATGCTTTCCCTCCTTTATTTTCTCTATTTTGTTTGCTTGCCCTTATCACTATTGAATCACATTTTCATTGTTCATTTATAATCGACAGTTATCATAGCTAGTCGTATTATTTAAACATTGTTCAGTAAAATATATAATCAACTATAAGCCCAGGTACCTAAATATTTCCATCTTCTCACACCCTCTCCAAATATTATTATTAATTATTAGTGTTTTAGTCATCTCAAGTAATATGATTAATTCACAACTATTTTTTTGGTAATTTCTATTATCTTCATCATTTTTTCTACCGTAATCAATGGGGAGAGTAAGCTCTCCTTCTCCAAATACTCTCACATGGTCTTATGAAAACAACCACTGACAGGGAAGTCATACTCATTGCCTTCTGGTGGCGTTATTGTTGTATACGAAATTCAGGAGACGAAAAGTGAACGTCCAGTGCTTTATTCGAGTTGGTGGATGTAGAGGATCCACGTAGAGGAGTTGGAATACCCTGATTCCAAACCAATAGTGTACATGGGTTCAAGGATTCACTGACGGAACAAAATGGAGTATGAACCAATTATTCGTTACCGGTTACAATGGAATTGCATCGCCTAACGTTGCTCAACTGCCTCAACTACATGTTTCACATAGAATTACAATTGTAAGACATTTTTTATGTATTTTTACAGATCAATGAGTACGTGTAAATGAATGAATGAGACATGAAGTCATTCTAACTTGATAAAAACTTTAATACAAATGTTCATCATTGAAATCACATTACTAATGTCACATCTGAATTTGTTAAGCATTTTGAATATAATGAGAAAATAACAACAACAAAATAAATGTATTATCAGAAGGGGTTTTGTGAAGATTTTAATAATTTCAATAGTTGAAATCATGAGTCAATTTAAGTTAGACCACCATGGAAAACCTGGACGTTAGACATTAACACTGTTGTATGCCGGCTCAGTGGTCGTGGATGCGCACTGCTGAAGAGTCCCATACTAGAACGAAACAGCCTTCCAGTGCTTCTAGGTTTTCCATGGTGATCTGACTTCAATTGACTCATGATTTCAACCACTGAAATTACAAATGTATAAAATAATGAACATAATTATTTCATTTTAGAAGGCATACGCTCTATGCAATTTAATTCTGATGATTATCCTGAAGAAGTTTAAACAAATTTATGGGACGAACTGTTGGGATTATTTAGGATTGAATCTCTGAAACTATTTTAAATATAATTATACGTAAGTAATAGTATATATATATTATTTTAACACATAGATATTGGTACAAGGAGACACCAAATACATATGCGCCACACAGATTTCAATTGATATGTATGAAGGCTATGATACTGCCCGGGTGCCCAGACCGAAGTAGGTGGGTTTTCTTAGGGTCCACACCTAAAGCCTTCGACCTAAAGGTCTAACCCACAAGACAGTGATGCATCGTAAGGAGATGCAGTCCCATGGTAGCCAGTGATCAACGATTGGTTCATACGCCATTCGTTCCTTCAGGATACTGGAGCCCATGTGCACTATTGGTTTGGGATCCGGTCAAAGCGCCGGAAATTCGCTTTTCGTTCTCTCATTTTCGTAAACAACACCCCCGCCACGTGAAGGCAGTGAGTAGGGCTTGTCTGGCAGATGCTATATACGCGTGACCATGTGAGAGCATTGCGAGAGGGAGAGTGGGCCCATCCCACTCTCGGCCGTACCGGAGGGTTTGGAGGCATATATATATATATATATATATATATATATATATATATATATATATATATATATATATATATATAATTTGTAACTAACATATGACATATCTAAGAGATTAAAGGTTTATCCAAAACAACCAATCAGTATAATTGGGAGTAATATTTAAATTATAGAATAAATTCATTTTTCTTCATATTCATAGTTTTTATTTATTGGTACAAGAAGGCACAAAACGGTTATGCGCCACATAAATCATTCGATTTGTGTGAGGGCTGGAATACTGCACGGGTGCCCAAACTGAAGCAGTAGGTCTTAAAAAAAGCTTAACCTTAACTCTCATATGCAGTGTAATTAACAATTTAAATGCATTAGATAGTATGAGACAAGTAACATTAAACTTTATATAATATCTCTAAGGAATTGTTTACCATAATAGATCACTTCATAGTTTTATTCACATAATCCTTTAACATATATAGAGAAATGTCTCATACTACCTAGACTCAATCAGTCTATTGAACATACTGATAATCCTACTGTTTCTAGTGAAGAAATATTACCTAAAATAAACGATGAAAATAAAATAAATAAATAAATGAAGCACAAAACCATTTTTCTGCAAACGCAAATGCCTTAGTACGGCCGAAGGGTGGGGAGAGTGTACTCTCCCTCTCCAAATGCTCTCATATGGCCACGCGTATACAGTCACTACCAGGAAAGTCCTATTCACTGCCTTCTCCCGGTGGGATGTTGTTTAAGAAAATGAGAGGAAGAAAAACGAATGTCCGGCGCTTTAACCGGGTTTGTGAATATTGAGGATCCACGTAGAGGAGTTGGAAAACTCTGATTCCAAACCAATGATGCACATGGGTTCAATGATTCACTGACGGAAGCTATTATTCGTCATCGGCTACCATGGAATTGCATGACCTAACGTTACTCCACTGTCTTATGGATTATACATTTAGGTCAAAGGCTCCGGAAGTAGCTCCCTAAGGAAACTACCTGCTTTGGTTTTGGCACCCGGTCAGTATCACAGCCCATACACAAGTCAATTGACTTGTATGTCGCATATCTATTTCGTGCAACCTCGTACCAATGTTTATGTACTGAAATAAAAAAATAAACGTTTTTGTGTTTGCATTGTTTAGCCAATAAATCTCTGAAATATTTTCACTACAAACCAAACTGTTCAACATATTCAACAAGTATACTATACACCTACTGACAAGAATTATCTACAAACTTTTATGTGATTCGTTAATTACTAAATCTAACTAGAGTTGGGTAATACTGAAATCTTAAGTTATGTAGAAGAATTTCTATATTCATCATAGCCCCCAAATTCCCTGGTATGGCCGAGAGCGGTGTGGGCCCGCCCTCCCTCTCGAAATGCTCTCACACGGCCACGCTTATATAGCCGCTGTCAGGGAAGTCTTACTCACTGCGTTCTCGTGGCAGGGGTGTTGTTTACCAAATTAAGAGAACGAAAAGCGAATTTCCAGCGCTTTAACCGGATTCCAAACCAATGATGCACATGGGCTCCAGTATCCTGAGGGAACAAATGGCGTATAAAACCAATCGTTGACCACTGGCTACCATGGGACTGCATCTCCTCACGATGCTCCACTGCCTTGTGGGTTAGATCTTCAGGTCGAAGGCTCTGGGTGTGGCCCCCTAAGAAAACCCACCTACTTCGGTCTGGGCACCCAAGCAGTATCACAGCCTACATACAAATAAAATGAAAATTTTATGTGGAGCATATCTGTTTGGTGTTCTCTTGTACCAATATTTATGTGTTCATCATATCAACAATAAGATGACTAGTATAGGAACGTATATCAAAATATAAAATAGTATAATGTTTTAATATAAATATAAAATACAAATAAACAATAGAATTAATTGAATTCATACAATTAACATACCAATGAATGAGCAGCAGATTGATTTGTTAAATATGATGGAATCACTAATTCATTTGGTGATGATACTGTTCCAGTATTAGAATCAATTAAAAATTTTGGAAATTGTTTTAATAAATTAATTTGTTGATCACAAATATTTAATGAATTGATAAATTCCGAATTTGTACAATGATTTTTTGTAGAGAAAGGTAAATGAATTGAAGGAATTGATTGTGTTGTTGTTGTTGTTGTTGATGATGATGATGATGATGATGATGTTGTTGTTGTTGTTGTTGTTGTTTGAATGAATGATTTATTAATTTGATTTGAATGATCTAATGAATTTTGTACACTATCAATTGAATTATGTAATTGTAACGAATGAAGAGGTGAAGTAACAATAGGACAATTTGTATAATTAGATATAGTAGAATTTATAGAAATAGTTGAAGTAGTTGAAGTAGTTACTACAGCTCTAGAATATTGTAATAATAATGCAGCTATAGCTGCTTGATTAATAGGTAATAAATTAGATTGAAAAATTGAAGCTGATGGTTGACAAAAATGTGAATTTATATGATTAATAGAATTAAGACCAAGAAATGAATATAATGCAGATGCTGTTGTAGAATTGGATAAAAAACGATCAGTAATAATGTTGTTATTATTATATCCAGTTTCAGATTGTATACTAATATGTTCAGTATTATCTGAATTAGAATGTGTTGTTTTAAATGGAAGTTTTATAGTTTCATCTGAATAAATCTGACAATTAGATGAAGATAAACTAAATGGTGTAGTTAAAATTCTTGAATTTGTTGATGAATCTAAAATAATAGTACTAGTAGGAGGTGAATAGGATATACCTGTAGATGATGATGATGATTCGTTTGTACTACGATGAGATTGTGTACTATCTAAAATTGATTTTGATTGTTCCGAATCTGATAATCCGTTAATATTTCTATTTGAATTGTTAAAAATCCAAGATTTAGCAGATTCTTCATTTAAAAATATTCGACGATCATATTCTGATGATAATTGAGAAATAGGCTAACCAAAATAAAAAGAAACAGCAGAAATACATATACATTGAATAAACAATGATGATTAGTAAAATTGCATAAAATGTAATCAGTCAGTCAGTCAGCTGCAACGTAGGACCAGGCACGTATATGCATCGGTCCAAGTTGCCATATCGCATTAGCACAACAAGATGAACACCGGATTCATAGGAGTAGTTAATTCAGTGGTGGTAATATATAGAAGAAAGATTGTGTATAAGGAGATAGTAATCAATTACGTAAAAGTTCTAAAGGTTGTTTATTTGTTTATTTTAACCATTCAATAGTCACATACACACACACACACACACATACATACATACATAGATACATACATATTGTGAAATGGGGGAGATGGAATTGTATATAATATATATACTACTTACAGAATCAATTGGGAAATTTGTATTAATTGGACAACAACAATCATTTTGTCGATTATTTATTTCATCATTAAGTGATTTAGTCGTATTATTAGATAATAAATAATTAGCAACTTGTAAACAATCTGTTATTGAATCATTTGAATGATTTAATTTTGATTTAGTAAGATATAAATTATTATTATTATTATTATTATTTAATGAATCTTCTACATTATTAGAATGTAAATGATTATTTAATAGACTATTATTAGATGTAATAAAAGATGATGTATTTTTTATATTTATTGTTTGTTGTTCATGTTGATTTATATTTTGTAATGAATTATTAGTTAATGTATTAGTATTTGTCCATGAACGCATAGGTACTTGAGTTGGTAGACCAGCAGCATTATACCATGGACTTTCAACACGACCTGATTTACATGAGATAATATTTGTAAAACATTTAGATAGATTAGATACATTAAATAAATTATTTTGATTATTTGTATAATATTGATTTGATAAACAATAATCATTTGGACAAGAATCAATATTAGTTTTATCAGATGATATAAGTGAACGTATACAATTTAAGTCACAATTATTAGCTAATGAAACAGTTCTGTCATTATCAACTCCAATAGATAAATTGTCCATTTGAATAACTGGTCTTGTAGATACTTTAGAATGTTGTTTAGTATTAGTATTAGTATTATTATTATTATCTATATTCTTTGTTCGAGTAATATTGACTTTACGAGTTATGCCACATGATAATTTTGATGGTAAAGGACTCATAGATGTTAGACAAGTATCACCAGATATTGGTGAACCACTACGTTTACATGATGTTGAAGTTTGACGATTTGTATTTCCTGATAAAGTAACTTTTTTACTTGATACAGTTAAATCAGTAGCTGTTGATCTTGGTATAGTTTGATAAGATTTAAAACGTAAATTAGGTAATATAATTCCATTTTTACGAACATAATCACATAGTGATGATTTAGCTAAATTATACTTTTGTGCAGCACGTCTCATTGATATTTGAGAACCTAATACATCATTTACAGCTAATTCTAATAATTCACGTCTTTCTGCAGGTTTATGACGTGGACGTCGTACAGAAGTAACAGTTGTAACACTTGTAACAGTTGTTGAACAAACATTTGTAGAAATACCATGTAATTGACTATTAATTGGTGTTGATGAATTACTAAATGATAATCCAAATGTAATAGGTGATAATGAATTTTTATTATCTATTTCTAATTTTTGTTCTTTTACACATTCTTTAGTTAATTGACATTCAAGTATAGGAGGAGGAGATGATGATGATAATGGAGATGTAATAGATAATTCTTGAGTGGATATTATTTGAGATCTAGTATCTTGTTCCAAAAAATGTGGTGATGGAAAATCACATTTTTCTTGTTCTTCAGATGTTGTAGATAAAAATAAATTATCATTAATATTAAAATCATTAGTAAGATTTTGATTTATTGAATTATCATTGTTATTATCTGAAGTCTTTGGTTGAGTCATTAGATTATCGTATTGTAATAGAATGAAATGAATAAAATTATAATAAATAAAACCGGTATATACATATGAGAATTTTTTCAAGGATTTGATCTCCTCTGTTTAATTATTAATATATACTTTCGCCTTAAAATATCATTGACTTAGCAACAATAGAATATAATTCAAACTATAGAAGTCATGGTAATTATACAATATATATATATATATATATATATATATATCATCAATTCGATATATTATTTAATTAAAATAGTACATATGATGCCCAAGTGTCAATAGATGATGATCCATAAGCATGAAATACAAAATGTCATTCAACAAACTATAAGATTATGAGCAAGCTTAGTTGTGTGTGTCTATCCAAATCTATTATTATTATTATTGAATATTATCATTTAAGCATTGAGCAATCATTATTTTGCTTGGTGGTATAGTTGTGTACACATTTATAGGAATGCACGCATTCATATACACCATAACATGAGTGCTCATACATACATACATACATACAACACACACACACTCACACACATACACACACACACAATACACAATGTATTGTGTTACTTGTCCATTAAAAAAATCAGTGGCCACCCTAACGTTTAAATAGTGCTTATTACAAATAAATGAACATCAAATATATACACAAGCACAACATGAAATAGTTAATCACGTTCATCATTTTAATATAGATATATATATATATATCCATCTTTTTTTCTGTTTCTAGAAATGAGAACAATAAGATGTGTGCAAAGAACCAATAAAATAGATCGAAGTAAGAAAATATTTTTTTTTTGAAAAGAAAAAAAGCGAATGATCCGAAATTTTATGAAAAATAAACAAGACAATATGAATTTTCCCGTATAATCATCTTAAAATATATTCATTTCAATAGTTCAGATCATGAATCAATGAAAGCGAGATCACCATAGAAAATCTGGAAGCATTGAATGATTGTTTCATCCTATTGTGGAATTCCTCAGTAATACATATCCATGATCTCACCTGGTGAGATTCGAACCCATGGACCTATTAGTCTCGCGCATGAGTACTTAACGTCTAGACCACTGAGCTGGCCAGCATTCAACGGTGTTAATGTCTAAATTCAGCTATTCCACGAAATTGAGTGACACATCCACCATTGTCATTCATTCAGTCAGTCAGCTGCAACGTAGGACCAGGCACATATATGCATCAGTCCAAGTTGCCATACCGCATTAGCATAACAAGATGAACACCGGATTCATAGAAGTAGTCAATCCAATAGTGGTAATATATAAATGAGATTACATATAAGGAAGAATGAATTAGTACGTAGAAAGATGTGAAGCGATTTTAATCTCTTAGTTTAAAGGAAGACAGAGAGTGTATACACCGACGCCATTGTGATCGATTCTGAGCCATGTCACCAAGAATCTCCAACCATTGCTTACGATAGTCACGCGGACCCCAACCAAGCAGTCTGAATCTACCAACATGGCTCAGACCAGAAGTTAGTGACTTCAAGCACTGATGCCACGTTTTGGTTTGGCCGCCCCTAACTTTCTTCCAATCATCCCTAACACCGGTTAGGGAAGAAAGATTGCATATAAGGACCATTGTCATTAGTCAGTTACTATCTCACAACAGATCTGATTGAACTCAACTGATCATTGCTTCGAACTAGAACTCCAGGAAATACCACTTGAAGCCAGTCACTAGTGAACAGAAGGGGGTTTTATGGATATTATAATAATTTCAATAGTCGAAATCATGAGTCAATTGAAGTTAGACTGATAGGTGCTGGGTTCTAATCTCGCGAGGTGACATCATGGATGTGCACTACTGAGGAGTCCCACAATAGGATGAAAGAGTCATCCAGTGCTTCCAGGTTTTCCATGGTGATCTAGCTTCGATTGATTTGTGATCTCAACTATTGAAATTACTATAATATCCACAAAAACCCCTTCTGATATTAAAATATGTTATTTATTGAAATAGATGTGAACTTATATAGATAGATAGATCAGTATACAAACGAGGCTATTAGAAGTCATGAACTTATAACAAATTATAATAGAATGTTTAATAAATTAGAAAAAAAATATTTTAACAACCATCTGATATGAATCAAACACATGACGTTTATAAAGAGAACACATTGTTAGAAAGCATAGTTACTAACAGTAATATTGACTTGTATTAAATAAACAGACTATCCATCTTTGTTTATAATGCTTGTGAATTAAGGCAATATCGAGGCAATATGCTAAGTATGCACGTATTCAAATATGAGACTGATCAATTGCAGCCCTAAATAACAATGAGAAGCTTCATCCCATTGCACAAGCAAGTGGCTATCATGACTCAGTAGCTAAGTGTATAACATGATGGCATTTGAAGTGAACAGTACTGGGTTCGAATCCTACAGTGAACATCAACTCTGAGATGCAGGTACATCCAGCTGAAGAGTCCCGAATAGGACGAAACACGCGTCCTGGACTCCACTGCTAGCCCACATCCATCTTTGCTTATAATGCTTGTGAATTAAGGCTACATTGAGGCAATACGCACAGTATGCACATATGCCAATAAAGGGCTGATCAATTGAAGACCTTAACAACAATGGGAAGATTTGAATAAACAATACCAAGTGAATTCAAACTTAAGATAGCTCTAAGAATGAATCATTGTTAGTACGATAGTAACCAAAGAATAGTAAAAAATATAGTGTATAAATTACTTCACAATAATTATATTAGACGTATAGAGTTAGAATTAAGATCCCTACAGTGATTGATCTTGAGAAAGTGAAGTAAAAGGAATAGAGTTGCTTATTTAGGTAATTGTTCTATTTATTTAGATACACATAAACATTGGTACAAGGAGGCAGCAAACAGATATGTGTAATATAAACCATACGATTTGTGTGAGGACTGAGACACTGCCCATGTGCCCAAACCGAGGCAGATGGTTTTCTTGGGGGGCCACACCTCGAGCCTTTCACTTAAAGGTCTAATCCACGAGGTTATGGAGTATCGTTAGGAGATTTCGCCCCATAATAGTCGGTGAACAATAGGTTGATACACCATTTGTTCGCATAGGATACGGGAGCCCATGTGTACCACTGATTTAGAATCAGGGTTTTCCAATTTCTCTACGTGGATCCTCCATATTCACCAACCCGATTAAAGCACTGGACATTCAATTTTCGTCCTCTGAATTCCGTAAAGAACACCCCCGCCGGTAGAAGGCAGTGACTATGACTTCCTTGTCAGTGATTGTATATATGTGGTCATGTGAGAGCATTTCAAGAGGGAGAGCTGACTCACCCCACTCTCGGCTGTAACAGGGCATTTGGGGACATTCAATCAGAATCAGAATATAGCTGCTGATTCCAGTACTTGAACCTTTGACATATTCTTGTTAAATACATAGTTAAGTAAGATTAATTAGTCCATCACTAGATCATTAAAGACAATTTTGTAAATGTTTTATGATAAAAAATGACAAGCATTTATGAAGATGGAGAGGTATTGAATAATTTACAATAACTACATGTATTATTAGATGGAACAAAACCATAAATATTCGCTTATTTTCACTACAAACTGCTTGGTAAAATTTTATGTGGATACTAAATTGTTACATCTTCTATTTGATTACAGTAGAATACGATATACATCTAACGGTACTCCAACGTATAGAACCTTACAGTCGCAAATCAGAAGACGGAAGAAGCAGGGGAAGTGATTATTAAGTAAGAATCAGAAATGTACAGAAAAACATGAGTATTTATAGTTATTAGTATTAGCCATAATATCATTATTCAGCCAATTCGTAGAGAGGAAAGTTATGTAACTATCCAATCGTAGCATGACACGTTGATATTCTAGAAGGACCGATCATATTTTGGTTGAATGGAATCTCTTCGGCTCCTTTAGAGGCTCAGGAGGCTTCGCCGTGCTTTTCAAAGCCGTCACAACACCTCCCAGGAACAAGATTTGCTGCTGGGGTGTACTCGTAACTTGACAAGTGGTTTGCGACAGATTTCCGTCTTTCTTAGTGTCCTCCGACTTCAAACTTCCATTCTATCGTTCTCCATTATGTCTTTAGAAGTTCCTATCATTGGAGTATCTGTGATTATTTCCAGTGGAAGACCCCCTTACCTATCTACCGTGTTCATTGTCCTTTTCCCTCTATGGACTTGATTGGTGTGTCCGACTTACGTTCCGAACGTCCTACGCACTTTGTACAAAACATTCCCCATTTTCTTTTCAATAACTCTAGGTTCCCATCAATTTTTCACAAGGTTTAACTTGACAACCACTTTATCACTCACATTAAAACTCCGGACGTCTGATTTTGTCTGCACCAATCCACTGTCCTAGATGGCAACACGGCGTTGAACATGGTTCGAATACTTCTCCCAGACAAAACTTCGAAAAGGGGCTCTCCACATTTGAGCCACTAACACTGATCTCCAACCATGCCACCCAACATTTCTACCTACTGATCATTGTGATTAGAAGTCTGTACCTACTACCACACCTTAGAGTAAATCTATGACTTTATGGAATGACGTCACAAGTGATATATGTAGCAAAAGCCAACCAACCTTTCTGAATACAATCTGAGATTGCTTTAGATACCGAACCATCAAGGTTGATAAGACGTTCAAGGTAAGTGGATTGGTCAACGCATTTCAATATTTTACTCTATATCACTAGTTAAGACGTTGATGCAAACCAGTTCGCGCCTAGAAGTGAAGAAAGGAGCCCTAAGCAGCCTATCAGGGTTAGTGATACTCCCTAAATGGCTCATAGGTTTGACGGATTGTTTAAACATCAGTCCATTGCTTTACAGTGAACGGAAAGACTTAATATTGAGTCCTTGGTGCATACGCATTACAAGATCCTGAAAGTATGAGTGGAATTAAGGAAATGAATTGGTCACCGGTAATATAGGAATATATCTAACTGCTCCACTCTATAATGAATAAAACCATTAGCACGAAATCTTGTTAGTCGGTCAAACGCAAAGTAGAACCTGGTATATATGTTGGTAATTTCGATACCCAGAATCTAAGGGAATGCAAACAATAAATATGTCCCCATGGCCAAAACAGATGCTGAGTTGCGAAACATCTCTGACCGGAGCCTACCAACATTGCTCAGTTCAACAGTCAGTGACTCCATAGACTGAAACCAGGTTCTGATTTGGCCGCCGCTA